GTTGAGAAAATATCTTGACTGTGATACTGACTTGATGTAATATTTTGACTTGACATTAGTAAAACAAGCTCAGTTCATCTGGTTGGGTTTTTTTATTGAAAACTTTCTTATTTTGCTGAAGAATTAGCGTTTTTTTTTTTTTACTAGTCTATTGAGCTAAAGAGGATCTTTAATTTGAACAACATAACTTTCTAGAAGGAAAAACTTTTTACCTGAAGTCAGTCTTTATTCTTTAAGTGAAACAACTTGCAGTATTTCAGTACGGTTGTGTAATTTAGGTATTGGGCATTTGATACATGTGTAGTAGATTGTAACTATTGATTGTAGTATTTTTAAGTTTATATGTAATGAAGCATAATATATTATTCATGCAAATAACAAAATAATTACAGAATGTGGTACCAGACTCTTCAAAATCCTGTGGACCATACAAACGGCCTGAAAAAGTAACTTATAAAGAAGAACAGACCATCTCACAAAGAAGCGTTCATAATCATGATACTATTGGTAACAACCTATAATGACTCCGCTTTTTTTTTTTTTAATCCCTCATTCCCTTGCAGATTAAATCATACTGAGTTTAAAGAACGGTGTTCCATATAGGCATTATTTCCTGTTTATAGTGTTTTCAAGATTGGGTTACTTATGTGTTAGGATGGACTGCCTGAAAGTAGGATTTTGGGGGGGGGGGGGAGTTTCTTCTAGTGCACTGGCTGCTTGCTTCATTTTTTGCCCTTAGCTATGTATTCATTGCCCTACTGCTCTTCCCTTGGATATCTTGGCGTAATTGCTTGGGCAGCTATGGATGCTTAGAAAACTGATCAAGGTTAAAAATAATTATTTTTATCTCAATTGTGGTTAACTTAGGTCAAGTCTCCCGTGTAGCTGTCAGACCAACTTAAAAGGCTTTGCAGTGGTGAAAGAAATGAGTAAACGGTTAGTCCTGTTGCCAACTAAAAACAGTGTTTGTCAAACAGTCCTTAAACTTATAAAATAAAGCTTAGTTTCATTTTCCTTCTCTTCTGACTTTTGACTAAATCAATAAATTTCTACAGAAACTGCTATGCATAAAACAGGTTAGGAGTAGTAGTCCCTGAAGACTTCTAAGAGTTTACTGATTGAGGACTGTTAATTACTAAGCCTATAAGCTGATTAATGAGCAGATCAGACAAAGGACTGGAGCAGTTAGATTCATGTCTTTCAAAGCTTTATACTTTGTAGTTTTGAAACTTACATTTTTGTTTTAATCTGGATTTTTCTCAGTTCAGAACTTTTTGTCTGACAGTATTTGCGATACCAAGAATTAACAAGTTGTTTCAAGTATGAATCTTTCTTCTTTGCTTCTCGTCCACCCTACTAATAACCAATTAATGTTCTACAGGAGCCAGGCAACCTATCAAATTCTTAAGTTGGTAGCTAGCTTTCTTTACTGGGATATGCAGTCTTTGAAATGTTCTAGAAAACTCAGTTAACTGTGGAGTGTCAGGATGAGAGGGGAATTGCTAAATACGGTTCAGGAATTGAAGGGTCATTAAGTAGTCCTAAACTGTGTTGTAGTAAATGATGACCCTTATATTTGTACTTCAGGTTCCCCTGCTCCATGGTTTTTATGTATGAAATGTCTCCTTGTCTAACACATTTTGAGAAGAGTCTTTATTCAGAATGCGTTTGGGAACTTGGTAGGGACTGATGCCCTTCCAGTCTTTTCGTAGAGTCAGTACGTCTCTGCTTTTAGCTTCTACTGGTTAGGAAACTTTTCTAGGAGAAGGAGGTATTGCTTAGTGAGATCAGAGAATTTGAATTCTGCTTCTTGGCTTTCACTTTGTAGTAGAGTTTGATGTCAGCAGCAATTTCTACCCTCTCTTAAAGAGATGAAGTCTTGCTTTATGGAGAAGCAGCTAATCTCAAATCCTGTTCCAAGTGCCAATCTAAGCTAATGGGGCTGTGGCTTCCTTATCAGCAAAAAATTAGCAAGGAGTAGGCTCATCCACACATTTCACTGCATGTCATGTAATTCTTGTTACTTCGGTAGGCAGTGTTTCACCTTCTGCCAAATTTAAGTTCAGTCTGACTTTTTTTTCAGTCTCACTCAAGCACCATTTATAATTTCCAGACTTTGTTGTCCTGATGGTACCAGTGCAGGATGTGATGACACCAGGTACTGGTTAACATAGGTGTGAATTTATATCAGAAGATAATGGCTGCTTGGGCAGCGGTAGCAGACAGCTCTGAACAGTGTGACACTCACTGTTCTAGATTCCATTCTGAGCTCTTCTAATACCTCCAAAAGGTTTCCAAATGTGTTTTACAAAGAACTTTTTTTTCTTTAAGACTATGATTTTTCTGTGTTTCAGGATATCAGTAATTTGGATAGTCTGGGTATCATGGTTCTGTTTGATAACCATAGTGCCAATTTAACAAATCTGTTAGGAGTGTTTCTGAATATGTTTCATCCCTATTGGAAATTTTAGGTATGGTTGTAATTGGTGGGAGCGGAACTGTTGCTTCTGGGACGTCTACTAATGGTGCAGCCCACAAAATTCCAGGGTTAGTATCTTTGTTTTTACCAAAAAAAAAAAAATAATCTTTTTTTCCCTATCTCATTTCCTATGTTAAGCTGATCTAAAGGTTATATGTTTTAGATTGCGATGATCACAAAATGGCCTTGCTTATTTCTGTAAATCCTAACACTGAGAAACTGATTCAGTTGCAAGATGATTTATGTGTATTTGAGGGAATGCTTGGTTTTCAGCTCACTTAATTCACCATACAGAGACACAAACAACTGGTACAGTTGTGAGGCAACTTGTAAGGCAAGGCACCAGGGATGAATGAACATTCTGTAGAGGTGCACAGCCTCCAAAGCAATTTACATAGAATCAGAGCCACAGGCCTGTATTTTGTCTCTGAGATATTTTTTCTACCCAGTTAGGAATCTTGTGTGTCAACCAAGTTGGACAATTTCTGGATTTAGCAACAAGTTATTGAGCATACTAATGTCCCCGGCTACTTACTGTTGCCCACTGGCTAAACCTTACTGCCCTAATGATAGTCAGTATAATAACAAACAGTTGTGCGTTGGAGGTGGGTTAAGCCTCGGGTCAGTCAGGTTATCACAGATCACTTTTATCAGTAGTTTTAAGACAAGACTTCCAACTGCAGCAGTGACCTCTTTACCAGATCTGTTCTCCTGTGAGTTTAACACTAACCCAGCTGGAGGCAGTAAGATTGACAAAATTAAAAGCGTGCCTAAGTCCTAAGAACTTGCCAATATCAGGCCAAGAGCTATTACATCAATGCAATCCCACTGGAATTAGTAAATTACAGTTTTCTGTAGTTTCCACGTTTTGTTTTGGTTTTGGTTTTTTTTTTTCTTTTTTTTTTCTGTTTTTCACTACAGCCGTGTAGGTGATTCTCCAATAGCTGGAGCAGGATCCTATGCGGATAGTACAGCCGGAGGAGCTGCAGCCACTGGGGATGGTGACATCATGATGCGCTTCTTGCCCAGGTATGTCCTTAGGGCAGACTTTGCTAGTTTTCTGTAGCAAAATGTGGACTCATCAAATGAAGTAATTGATTAAAAAGACAGCCTCACTTACTGGCTGCTGAAGTGGGAGTAAAGGAAGGACTGGAAGGGTAAAGAACAGTAGCAGAATTCAATCATCCTTATGATCTGTCTTAAAAACAGTGACTTCTTAAATATCTTGATGACAGATCCCCTTAATACTGCCAAGCTGTGAGCAAACAGGCAGCAGGTAATGAGTATGTTCCCAACCTGCATGTTTTTTAACAGAACTGATGAGCTTTCTCCTCAAAAGTGTTTTGTTGTGTGGGAAATAAGTGTTATAAATTGTAGAAAGGATGAGGGACGAGTCTGGGATTAATTTGGGAGGGTGGGGAGGTGTTACTGTAACAATCCTATGTAATTGTATCTAATTTGAAACTGGAAGAGGTGTTTTAGTGCTGTAGTTGCAGTTGCATAGCCTGTGTAAAATCTGATGTTCATCATTGAGTCTTGACAGTCATTCTTGTGGGTCGGTCTCAGCAGGAGTGAGTTATGGAACATAATGGGCACTGATGCTTGAAGGAATATATAGCAGTGGCCTTCATACTACTCAGGTGCGTTTTCTGAAACTCTGGCAGTTATGAATGCCTACTAGCTGTTGCATATTTACAGATGTCCTCAATGAGGTTCAAGCTGTTACAAGCCAGTCTTGAAACAAAAGGCAATTGACAACTTCAGGAATTATCCTGAAGTATCAGATACCAACAGTAGTAGCGAGTTGAATTCCACTATGAGGTTAATCAGTAAAACCTTACATTACAGTTCAGCCTGAAGGATTTGGATGTAATGCTTAAAACATTTTGTGTTAGCACCAATAGGTTTTAGAAAACACCTCAGACTAGATGGTTAATCACAGGTTCCTTGTAGATACAGATCTTTCCTAGTTCCATTTATTTAGATAGTCCCACATGAAAACAAAGACTAGAGATGACCTGCCAGAAGTGAAGGAAGTGTCAAATAAATGGCAAAATTGCTGATATTTTCTGTTCAACTTCTTTCAGATAGTAGTATCTACTGAGTTTTTGGTTAGTGAAGGGACCCCTGTGAAATACAGTTTTATGTTCAGGTAATTATCTTCAGATAACTTGAACCTATTTGATGGTTAGAATAAATCAAAGATAATAGGGAGTCTAAAAATGCAGGAAAGTTCTCTTCTGCGGTACTTTGCTAACATCTATAGTTAATGCTATCTGTAGATGAGTCTTAGTGTAACAAGAGTTGGTCTTGGTATTTGTATCTTTCATCAAAACAAAATCTAGTGTTCTTTGCTTATAAGTCGTATTATGCCTTATCTTTTAATCTTCAGGTTCTAAATGAAAACAACAACAAAAGGAGGGTTTTTTTGCCTCAGAGTATTTTGGAAATGCAACTGATTCATCTCAAGCAGTGCCCATATAGTCACTTATCTAATGATACTGTAGATACAAAGGAAGCTCATTTTGATTGCTCTTCTATTTAGAGTTAAGATTTTTTTTTTTTAATTGGCTTGCAAAAAATTTGAAAGTGCCCCAAAGTCTTGATCAAAACATTGTACTTTCTGACGTGGTTTAACCCCAGCAGGCAACTAATTCCCACACAGCCACTTGCTCACTCGCCCCTCCTCTGGTGGGATGAGGGAGAGAATAAGGAAGAGTAAAAGTGAGAAAACTTGTGGTTTAAGATAAAGACAGTTTAATAAGTAAAGCAAAAGCCTCACATGCAAGCAAAGCAAAACAAGGAATTAATTCACCACTTCACATCGACGGGCGGGTGTTCAGCCATCTCCAGGAAAGCAGGGCTCCATCACACGTAGCAGTTACCTGAGAAGACAAGTGGCATGACTCTGAATGTTCCCACTTGCTTCCTCCTTTTCCCCTGCAGCTTTTATTGCTGATTGTGATGTCATATGGTGTGGGATATCCCTGTGGTCAGTTGGGGTCAGCTGTCCTGGCTGTGTCCCCTCCCAACTTCTTGTCCACCCTCAGCCCACTCACTGGTGCAGTGGCATAAGGAGCAGAAAAGGTCTTGACACTGTATAAGCCCTGCTCAGCAATAACTAAAACATTCCTGTGTTACCAGCCCTGTTTCCAGCACAAATCCAAAGCAAAGCCCCATACTAGCGATTATGAAGAAAATTAATTCTACCCCAGCCAAAACCAGCACACCTTCGTATTCACAAAGTAAAGACAATGTGTTAATTTTGAGGTTTTCAGAAAAAAGTTTTTTATGAAAGATTTTTTTAATGCTTACTGAAATCAATAATTTAACTGACCTCCAATATTACGTTACTGATTTCTTCAAAAAATTATCTTGACATTGTCCTTTTTGAAAACTAGTAATAAATTTTAGTGTCAAACTTAGTCATGCAATGAAAAATAAAAGCCACTGTCTCGTAACTGCTTCTTTGCAGTTCTTTAACTGACCTGTTGCTTAGCCTCTTCTACTGCAAATGATTGGAGAGTTATCCCAGGTTCAGTCCTGCCTTAGAGTGATAGATGGTATAGATGACATCTTGCAGCCCCTTTTAGTCCTGTTTCAAGTTACTTTTATGTAGAACTTGAGTAATAATTGCCAATATGAAGTATGGCTAAAGATTATTTATCGTATGTTCTCATTATTCAAAGAGGTCACAATGTCTCAATGGTATTTTAGAATACATAACCTGAGTATGGCTAACTGTCTGGGTGTGGGGTTGGTTTTTGTAGTTATCAAGCTGTGGAGTATATGAGGATGGGAACAGACCCAGCAGTTGCCTGTCAGAAAGTTATTTCCAGAATCCAGAAGTATGCTCCAAAGTTCTTTGGTGCTGTTATATGTGCCAATACAACTGGAAGTTATGGTATGTATTTTGCATAACAGATGAAGTTTGTTGACCCTGACTAGGTCACAGAAGTACAAAACCGAAGGTGGATTTTAAAGCAGAAGTCTTTAGTTATTCTTTGAACACTGCAGCAATACTGGCCATTCATAATATCAACTGCTGGTTAGCAGGGCAACTGTGTCCTAGTGTGGACTTGAGATATTTTAATTTTTCCTCTGCATTTTGATGTCTTAGACTTTCACAAAGTTTATGCAAGTCTTAGTATAAAAATCAAAAATATTTACAACTTCATGTGTTTTCCTGGACTGTGTATGATTAATCTGAAGGTTTTAAAAAAGAATGCTTTGCCTCCCCTAGATACGGCATAAGGCAGGGAATGTGACTATTAAACATAGCTTCAAAGCAACCCAAGATCAGTCATTGTGCCAGGCATCTCATTAGCAAACTCTTAGATCAGTAGGAAGTACAATTTGCTAATCAACATGGCTTATTTAGTTAGACTGCTTATTGCTGTTCTTTGATCTCTTATTTCCCACAGTTCTGTGTTTAAGAGATTAGTGTTGGAGGAACTCATTAAGTTAATCAGGATTGAAAGAGAGATTTTCCTTACGTTACTGTTTTGAATTGTATTATAAGGGCATTAATTGCACTACAGCAGTCAGTAGCACTGCATATTTACTTAAAAATTAAATGCTTTCAAGATGTCTTGGGTTAAACAGATTGTAAAAGAATAATGACATCATTGTAGTAGAATTAGTAAGTGGGTCTTTAGATGATAAAGTACAATGACAAAGACGCTAATACTAAATGCAGCAAATTACACCTCCTTTCTTTCTTTCTTTCCTAGGTGCTGCATGTAATAAAATTCCAGGATTCACTCAGTTTCACTTCATGGTTTCTAGCCCTTTGCTAAGCCAGCCAACTGAGCAAGTAGTAGATTGCATTTAATTCTTTCTGTCCTATTGATGTCTAAACTAAGAGGAGGAAAGTGCTAAGGTTACCCAGGTGTTACTGGTTAAAAAGGTTGTTCACTTTCATTGTTTCATAACTATGTGAACAAATACAAAGGTATGTTGATGGTGCCTTATTTTCAATATCTTCTACTTCATTATGGCTTTCTGTAGTGCAGCTGAGCGTAATCTGTAGTTTCCTAATCTAATTATCTTGGTAATTTATTTTTATATGATTGTAGACTGGTACTATAATATAGAGCATGGTTTAAAAACCTGACTGTGTACTTTCAGGGAAGAGAGCATAGTTGCAAAATTATAGTTAGTGCTGACACTTTCACAGTTAGCATAGGCAATTCCTCTCTTTAAAAATCTGCATCTAAGTGAAATGGTTGAAATTGATGTGCTTCACTACTGAGTGACTTAAGTCGTGAATTTAATAGGTGTTTAATAGGCATCCCAACTCAATTCTTAAACTTTTGTGAACCTGACAATCAAACTGTGGTTCTAAATACCAAAAAGTTATCTGTTGTGTATGTACTTCCAAGTAATGCCAAGTATCACCTGCTTTTTGGGGAAAGTAAAAAATCTTTCAAAGAGAGTTCGTAAAGTGGACAAGTGGTCATATGTGTGCAAAGAGACCAAGTGTCCAATGGTTCTTTTAGTCTGCCCGTTTTCATAAGTAGCCAAAAGTGATGAATAGTAAACATTGAACTGGATTTTCACTTTGCCATTTAAAAGCATACTTGGCAGAAATCTGGAATAAAGAGAGCCCTGGGAGGGGCTCTGCTTCTACATGTGAGACTTATTTTGAGACTATTTAATTGCCTTTCTAAGATGTAGTCCAGGTTTTCTTTTCTCTTGAAAAGAAAATTGCATGCAAATGCCGGCAAGCCAGGAAAAAGGGGGTTGAAGAGTAGCGGAGAAGATTTCAGAGCTTTAATTAAGAGATAAGGAGCGTCTCCTTGTGGATGTTTCTAACTTGTTTCACAACAGCTGAGAATGTTTGAATAGGGAGGATATCCAAACATCCCTGGCAGTGCAAGCCTTCATGGAGTATTGCGTTGACTCTGGGTGTGAAGATGGGTGGAAATCTTCCTGTCACTTTTTTTTTTTTGTAGCGGAAGTTAAGTTATGAATCTTAATCACAGTGACTTCCTTGTCAGTCACTGGTGTGACTGTGTGCTTGCCCTTCCCTGTAGCCCATTTACCCCTGCAAAGGAACAGTTGAATACCTAGAGCATGACAGTTACCTACAGCTAACAAAGCTGGTTTTGTCAGTTTCTGTGTCTAGAGATATCAGGATGTGTTTGTCATAGAACTTCAGCATCTTGAAGATTGTTCCATAGGTATTTGAAGATCTGTTTTGATTGTTTTCTCAACTTGGTGGCTTACTGATCATTTGAATCTTTGCTAAACTTGAGCTAGGAAAAGTTAAAAGGGGGGAGTGAGTAAAATGAGCATGTCTTGTCATAAACACTTTAATTATCTTTGTCTACTTGAATAAAATAATTGAGTAATAAAAGCACACCTTAATGTGTCATTTATAAGTAAGGTTGTTTAGATGCTTGTGTACTGTGCCTTACATTCTGAGTTGGTATCTTTAAAAGCTGGAAAAAACCATTCAAACTGGAATAACCATGTTTAATGGCCTGTGTTGAACTTCATCAACAAAGTCATTTATTTGGAGGAATCACTTCTGCCACTAGATTCTTAGAGCATCTTATAGCGCAGAGTTCACTGCAGAGTTCACTGCAGACCACAAGCAACTCTCATCAAAGGAGCTCTTACCGAATGTACCTGTAGTCGTTCAAGATAAGTTTTCTACCTGTCCTACCTACAACCCTTCTGCCACGGCTGCTGTGTCTTCAGTTAACTCGGGCAATCAAGCACCGATAGGTGAATAAAATCCCAATGATTGTTACTTTGAAGATAGCACTGTGGATTGTGAATGTAGAAGATTCAGTACTGGCAGCTGAGTGGTAACATCTCAAACCACTGCAGCTGAATCCACCAGGATTCATTTTGGAAAGAGGCTGGGAACATCCATGGCTTGCTTTCTAGTGTGCTTATGCCACCCTGTGCTAGCTACTGTACGAGATTGAGTGCCCATGTTGAAAGATCGTGAGTGCTCTGTAACAGTGTACCCAAGAGCACTGTTACAGTCTTAACTGTGACTGCATAGTCAGCTCATTGGTATGTGAGAACAAAATTACTTGTCTCCATGAGATGTGTATTAATACATGTGGTTTAATAATGTAGGTTGCTTTGTGATGCTAAATTAGTTATAATAGAGAGGATTAGTTTGTGTAAACTATTTTTAATACACTGTCAAATTAAGAGTATATTAATTACAGTATTTATAAATGTACCATTCTGATGTTATGGATAGAATTCTGAATTTAAAAAATAATGTGCTTAATATTTTGTCTTTAAAATGTTTCTTTAAAGGTTGTAGTGCTGTTCTCTTATGCTTAGCAGACACGTGAGTTTTTTTAAGAAATATTTTTACATGTACAAACCCTTGCCAAAAGTAAGCAAAAATTCCATGACTGTTTCTGCTGGGGTTGCAAAAAAAAAAAAAAAACAAAAAACAAAAAACACAACAAACCCCCAGAATCTTACTGTTTCTGATTTCAAGCAATTCTGTGGGTTTAAGTTCTTACTATCCACCTTTTACTACAAAAAGCAGAAAAAACCTACACAGAATAAGAGTATTTGCAAGTTAGTGGTACAGTTGATGCATCCTGTCTGTAAAGTTGTGGGGCTTTAAGTCTAACTATGTTTTAAGTTTATTAACTTCTAGCTACCCTACTTTTTTCTGTTTCTAAATCTTCCCAAATTATCGCTTCATCTAATGTAGACACGATAAGAATCTTAGCTCAATGGTGTGACTAATAAAGCAAACTGCCCTGTTTTTGCACAGCACTGAATTGTTCTTTAATAAAGTAATCTGTATGAACTGTGACAAAATTTTCTATGCACTTACTGAAGAAAACTTCCTTGTCATTTCACCATTTGTAGGTTACCACTGAAATATGTCCTTTTGTCTGCCTCAATCAGGAATAATTCAGAGTTTCAGAGAATTCAAGGTTGGTCTTTCAGATGGAATTTACAAGTAATACTATATAAACTGGAGTGAATCTATTGTCTTTTCACAGGGTAAAAACAACAGTGGTGCTGTTCGCTTTTTAACTTAAGTTCTTCTATTAGCATTTGTTGTTTGGGTTTAGTTATGTGACTGTTGTAACTCAACAACTCTCTTCATCCTTATTTTGAAACAGAGAACACGTGTAGGATTTCAGTGCTATTATCTGTAGTCTGTGTGGGTGACAACACATCAGTGATGCAGTTAAATTTACTATAATGGGTATGTTATACATTAACCACTGAACTACAGATGTTCTCACTGGGCGGTCTCTTCATTCATTCGTGAAAGTTCCATTAAATTTACAGCACTTACAAACATTACTGAAATGTCCACGGAGCAGATGTGGCAGAATCTCTGGATTTTGTGTGTAGTTTTGGTGTCATTGTTTAAGCTGCTGAGTCAGGCAGCAAACATTTTTAGATGTTTGTGCATTTAACAGTATTAGTTGTGTTTTCATTTTCTTCTTTCCCAC